AAAATTTGGGTGTGTGAAAATGTGCAAAAGTAGAGACCCTATCTATGATCAGAGCCTCTCTTCTATAACGGTAAGAAACTCTAGCGGTTAAAATTGTAGGTTAATTCACTAAACAAATGTTTAGAGACCGTCCTTCTAATATGAATCAAACTCAATTAATTTAACCTCTCACACTAAGTTAACATTTTCTTTTCCTTAAGTGTACTTTCAGCATTAATCATAGACTTATTCTCATACAATGTCATGTTAAGGTCTACAGTTCTTAAGGAGAATTCTAACCATTTAAAATCTTAATTAAATCAAAACAATTATTCATTAAAAAATCACCATCAATATAAAAAAATATGAATGTATTAGAATACACAAAAGGTTGAGACATAGCTTCAACCAATATAAGCTATTATAATGAGCCTAACATAATTAAACAATTTTCTAAGGGAAGAATGTGAAAACTAAGATAAAAAAAATAAGGTAAAAACTTCATATGAGTCACTCAACCAATATATAATGAATTCAAAATATTATTCTTTTTGACATACTAATTTTCTAGATTAATGTACTTTCAATAATTTTATTTATAAATTTAGTAAATGAGTTACTCTGTGAGTATATACTAGGTTAATAATTTTTTTTTAAGCATATAAATCTTTTAGACCAACCGACATCTAATAGTCACATCAATAAACTAACTCTCAATTATGACAAACAATAATTCCCTTTGAGCAAACAATAAACAATTGTATATAGTAAATGAAAATATTCCTCAAGTTACAAAAAAATTTTTACAAACTAAAATGAGTAACCTCACTTTAGTGGTTTCACCTAAAACAATCAATCTATGAAAGTGAATCAATTTTTTTTTCTTACCAAAAAATCATGATCTAGTCCATAATAAGTTTAGTACTTGAACATTTAAGTTAAAAACACACAATTTAAACAAATAAATACATCAAATATCACAAGATAAAAATATAAAGCTTTAAACTAACATCCAAAAAGAATATTATACAAATTTTGAAACATTTAACTTTAAATATTAATTAACTTTTTTTTGAATATGTTTACATTTAGATGATCAAGATATAAATTTATAGAAAATGCAACTATTTAGGCATGTTGTAAACCATAGTCTTTATTTGGTGTTGTGGTTGCATGTTTATGTTTTTTTTTCTCTCTCTTGGATATGGTTTAGAATCAAATATGAGTTGTGTGTAATTTCCCTGTCCAATTATATAAAATATTAATCTTAGTTTCTTGGTATCATGACAGGTTAAGACTTATATCTTAGTAAATGCTAATCAATTACATATATTTAAGGAGATATTTAAACTAAAACCAATGAATCACTTAAATTAAGTCAAATAAGCTTACTTATACACTGTATCATAAATTAGTCTATTTTTATTAAAAATAAAATTATAATTAATTTCAACTCTCAATAAATTATTAAATAATTTTAATAAAATAAATAAATATTTTGATGAGTGAACTTCACAAATGTCAAGTCATTCCAAGTCATTTTTTTAATTATATATATATTCATGCATGTGTGTAATTAAGTGATTATATAATTAATTTTTTTTTATTATTTATTAATTTATTTTCAAAAGGTCAATAAAAATTTTGAAATTTTATTTATTTTTAATATAATTGATCTTAATTTCACATTTGATACTATGTGAATTTCTTTTTTAATAATAATAATAATAATAATAATAATAATAATAATAATTATTATTATTATTATTATGCTAAGGTAAAGTAAAAAATAAGTACATAAATAATAATTAATAAAAATATATAATTATTATTTCAATTCTAGCATTAATTTTATTTTATTGTTATTATTAATGTTATTATGTTAATATTTTTTGATCTAGATTATTATATTTTTCCTTTATCTTGTATTGGTTAATTATATTTTTTTTCAAAAAATACTAATCGTTTCATTACGTGTTATAACACAAACAATTATTGAAACCTACGTGAAAATGTGTTGTAATATTTCATGCAATATAAATTTATTTTAAAAAGTAAATCATATTTAAACTTTAATTAAGTAAATAATTATTTTATTAATTAATTTAAATACATTTCTTATTTTCTTAAACATTTCTCTCTTCAATCAATAAAATAATCAATTTTTTAATAAATTAAAAGGTATTTATTTTACTAATACAATAGTTTTATAGCATTAACATATAGCGTGTTTACAGTTATACGTTATGAATTATTAAAATATATGTGTACTTATCTTATGTAATATAAAATAATTTAAAATTAAATCATATTTTAAATTATATTAATAAATATTTATTTTATTGATTAACCATATTATATCTTTTACAATATTTTTTCTTTTAGTTATCAAACAAATAATTTAGTAAATAAGTTAAAAAATTATTTTTAAGTAATATAAAATTTTATTAAATTTAATCATATTTCTCATTTAATTAATTAAATAATTAATACTTAAAATTATTTTTCATTTATTTGTACAATGATGTATAACATATATTGTCTTTGATTTTTGTCTAAGTCATAGGATTTATCTGAGAGTTGTGCTATTTTAAATTCTATGCAATGTAATTTTTTTTGTTAAAGTACTTACTTAAGTATTTCTTATAAATTAAATTATCTTGTTTTAGTTAATTTTTTTAATTCTTGTAAAGATTTATAATATGGATATATGATCTTGATTTTTTTTTAATATTATTTATTGTAGATATCATGTATAGTCATGATATATTGTATTTTATGCACTATGAACTTATTCTAAAATAAAGTTTATCTTAAAATAAATTACTTTTAAATATTTTTTATAAAATTTAAATTAACTAACTAATTACACAATTCTAATAGAATTATATATTTTTATTTTTCTATTGCAAAGAGTAATATATAAGAGTGAGATCAAACCTATTGAGACAAAATTATATTTTTTTCTTTATAAAATATTAATTTATATTTTTTATAAATAATTTTTTCTATTTAAAATAAACAATAAAATTATTGTTTGGAGATAAATAAATATTTTTAAAATTATAAAGATTTGCACAATTTGAAGTAACCATTTTTAAATGAACTTAATATGATATTAATACATTTTCTTTTGCACAACGACTCAACTTAAAATTTATTTCAAACATTATTTTTAAAAGTTTTTTCAAAATATTCTTTAATAAATTTTGATATTAACTTCTTTAATGCTTAAAACAATTAATTAATAATTTTTATCGCTTACTCATTGTCCTGTCGTGACCCATAACACTCTTTTTGTCATTCATCATTGTTTTCTTCTTCTTCTAGCTAACTCAACACCAAAAAACTCTTTTGTTGACCAAGAATAATTTCTCCTTCATGGCTTTTCTATCATTCTCATTCCTCTTAACCTTAACTCTTGTCAATAAAACATCCTCTTTCCTTATTTTTCATGGATCCATATTTGACCTTAACACCTCGCTACTATTGAAAGCATGAAAGGTTTCAATTTTCTATTGCTACCTCAACTTGTTGAAAACCATCACAACAATGTGAGTTCTCATTAATCTCCCATTCTAGTGAAGTTAAAGCTAGTACAAGTTACGTGAAACAAATTATAATGATGAATTTGGTGGTGAAGGTGAAGAAACTCAAAAAAATCTAAAATAAAAAAGAAGGATGCTATAGTGATTTTTAATGATAGTGTTAAGGAAGAATAAATAAAAAGAATGATAGATAAATGAAAATTTTAAGAATTTCAGACTAAAATCTCAAAAATTAAAATATTTACGCTAATAATCTCAAGAACTAAAATAAAAGAAAAACATATATCATATTGTATATAACATCATTTTTATCATACAATCAATTACACATATTACTCAACTTAACATTTCAATATTTCGTTACTATATTTTAATGATGTATAGCTCCATGAATTAAATTGATTGACGGAAAGAAAATATAAAAAATTATTAAAAATATTTTAAAATTTCAAGAACTAAAATGTTTGATGCTAAATTGAAGAGTTACTCTTATTTAAATATCAAGTCTCAAATTTTTTAATAAAAAAAATATAAATTTAAACAAAATTTTGGTTCTCTAAAAATTTATAATTTTTTCATTTAATTTCTTCCTTTTAAATTTAAATTTTTAGAATTATTTTCATTTTCACAAGTCTCTTTGTTAATAATATGTTCACTTATTCTATTATTTGTTTACATATTATTGAGTTATCTAATATAATTTGACTAAAACATGACATCAATAAAATATATCATTAACAACATTAAATCTTTCATATTTTTAAATTGAATTTTGGATTATAAAATTAGTATTTTAAAAATTGAGATTTAAAAATATAAAGGGAGTAAAAGTGTAAATATCACTTCATCATCCATATTAATTCTATATTATTATATATGAATTAAATTGAATGTTATATAAGTCAATACTAAATAGAACTAACAAATTATTAATAAAAAAATCATGTGTAAAAAAATAATAATTTTGAGAGACATATTAAAAAAAAAACGAAACATTAAGGATATGTTTGATTTCTTTTTTAAAAAAGAGTTTTTTATTTTTTTTTCTAAATGTAGTATAAATTTATACTATATTTAAAAATAAAAATAGAAAACTTTTTTTAAAAGAGAAATCAAACATACATAAAAAAAAATTCTAAACTTTTAAGAGACCAATCATTATTTAAGTAAAAGATGTATTAATAAAAATTTCTAGTTAAAATTAAATTTGATACATTCTAATTTTGTGTAACAATCTAAAACTACTTCTATCAAAATTAATATAATTTTTATTAACTTAAAAACAAACATACCTATATCTTCCTCTGTTCAGTGTTTATCTGCATTATTTAAGAGTGCAGAAATAAAATTGCAACATTATATATATATTATTAGCATTGAAATCCAGTGTACTATGCTGTCAGGCAGCAAATATGTGAACTAATTGCTCGTCTTAGCAACATTAGGAAATAACAATAGGCAACCCTCATTTTTCTAGATGTTATCCTCCTCCGCACTTGTTTCAGCCACATGCAGCTTTTTGTACATAAAACGCTTGGCGATCCACACGTAAACACACAAATTCAAGGCACTTAACCCAGCCATAACCCAATAAAAGTAATTAATGTGTGCCCTATTGATATTGTCCCCTAACCACTTCCCACCAGCTTTTGAAGTGATTCCCTCCACAGCATTTATAATAATGTTGCTAACGAAGTGTCCAACTCCCACTACACTTAAATATGCTCCAGCACCTAAGCCTCTCATTGTCTCCGGCATTTGATCATAGAACAATTCTTGGAGTCCAACAATAGTGAATGCATCGGATACACCAAAAATAATATATTGTGGTAGCATCCACCAAATGCTCATTGGTATCACCACATTGGGATAGTCCAAAAGACCATGTTTTCTAGCCACATTAACCCTTTTGGCCTCCACAATTGCTGAGACAACCATGTTGAGAATGGACAATGCTAGACCCGTTCCAATTCTTTGCAACATTGTTATGCCAGAGGGGTGCCCTGTTATGTTCCTAGCAATTGGAACAAACACACGATCATAGATTGGCATAGCACAAAAGATCATGATCCCAACAAAACCTTGGAGTGATGCTGGGGGAATTTGGAAGTGGGGTCCTATTGAACGCACCATTGTGGCACCTTGCTTAACGGAATATGTGCCTAATTGACTTTGGATAGCAGTGAACATTAAACAACTTAGCCATATGGGAATGAGGCGAAGAACTAGCTTCACTTCTTCAACTTGAGTCACCGAGCATAGCCTCCAAGTGTCTTTGCTTTTGCTTGTAGCATCGCGTTCGTCGATGATCATTGCCTTGTCCAAAAATCTATGGTAATTTTTAGGTCAGAAAATGCAATCTCCTACTAACAATGTCGTAACACAATGTGTCAAGCGACAAAAGGAAATAAACACCCACTTTAATTTCACTTTTTGCAAAATGACGTTCATTTTAATCTTTAATATTAACAAAAATTATAGGAAAATGACTAAATATTATCAATGATCATTGTCTTGTTAAAAAATGTACGATAGTTTTATTCATAAGAAATAATCCCCTGCTAGCAATATTGAAATGAAAAAAAATATGTATACTATAAAGTCTTGCAACTTTTTAACAGCCATGACAGAGATAAGATAAGAAAAGGTAAACAAGTATAAAATAAAATGAGTAATATGACGAAAAGAGATAAAAATAATAACATTATATAATTTTATTAAAAATTGTTGTATAAATAATATAAATCTATCAAAATTGAACGTGCAAGTAACAGAACAGAAAGCAGATTTTTTTCTTTGGGACAGAAGAGAAATTGTAAATTGCTTGGAAGGAACTCCGAATCATAGACCAAAGTCCCACTCCACATGGGGCACGATGAACCCTTTTTCTTTGGTCCAGACAATGAACCCATTACCCATTATCTGCTTGTTCAGAAATATTAGTTTATTGTTTTATGAAGATACTTCTATATTTTCGGCCCGAATATCTTCACAATATTCAAAGTGGAAATTCATTTTAATACACTATAATTTTATATAAATTTCACTAAGTAAGAAATAAGACCAATATCACTCAATGAATCATACATAAGTTGTATAAATTAATCATATATTATATAGTCGTTATATTTTTATTTATAAGAACCATGAATTAATATATAATGTTAGACATAAAAAATCGATAATATTTATGAAAAAGGAAACGAAAATATGAAGGGGTTTCGAGGAAAAGCACCTGTAATCATCAGTGTGGACCAAAGTGCCGAGTTTGGATTGATCTTTGGGTTGGAGGGGGCCACCATCGTCATGGCCATACCAATAATTCTCATGGTCACGCGTGCCCTTTACGCGCCACTTGCGAAATGCAGCAACAAAAACGTGTGCAATACTTGTGAATGGGCTCCCTTTTGGGCTTTCCTTCCTATACCTTTTAATTCCAAGCAAGAACAATGCCAGTGCTATTACCAACACTCCTCCAAGTACTCCTAGGCCCACACCCCACCCAACATTGTCCTGTGTTTTTTAGGCATTGCAATTTTGAACTCAGATTCTTCATGTTACCAATTTCAGAAACTATGAGTCAAGACATTGCTATGCTTTGAGGTCATCATTATGTTGTTCTATCATAGTGAAACTTATTCCACTAAAAGAAAACGTGTCATCCACTTCAAAAGGAAATACAACTATTGGGTCATAAAAATTAACTATTTCTTTTCACATCCTTTTACCATTCAAACTTTTTTAGCAACTTATTTAATCATTTCTTTCTCTCTCTTGCCTTTTTATCTCACTCTCGTTTACATGAAAAATACCAGTTTTATTGTGGGGAATAACATTTCTCATTTCGTAATTTGGTGATCCAAATTTCAGCTTTCAGTCAAATAAATTATTTTCCAAGTATTACATCAATACTATTGACATCATTTCTTCATCATCTTCTTCTATACCCTTAAGATTATTTGGTAAAAGATTTAATGTCGATCACCGCAAAATTAACATGAATAAACGAAAATATCAATCTAGCTTAAATTTCATTATCACAAAATTTAACAAATAAGAATTTGCAAGACACTGTAATAACTAGCTGGTTACCTGCACATATATTGCAACGAACACAGCCAAAGTCGAGCCAAACACAATGGCCAAATACCACAAGTTGAAGAATGAGCTTTTGACATCCCTCTCCTCCGCTGTGTTGTCGTCGAACTGATCGGCGGCAAAGGTTTGGACGCACGGCTTGTGGCCGCCGTCACCGATGGACACCACATAAAGAGAAATGAAGAAGAGCTTCTTATGCTTCATCACCGAGGCTGATAGTGTCAAGAAAACCATGCCCTGCATGTGGTTTTTACGTGACTTAAGAGCATTTTAATATTTCAGCAAATTATAATTTTAACCAAATCATTTACTCATTTTCATTAAAAAAAAAAAACTCATTAGTAACGAGAATAGAAATTAAATTTTACGGATTAACAATTATATGTCAAATATTAATTGTGTGTTTGAAGTTTTACCTTGAAATTCAAAAGTGGCTGTTTAGATATAAGGTAATTACCAGAATCATGATATTTTGACATTTTAATTTCAACCATATTACTCATGCTCTCTCCTTTTTATTAGAGAGAGAGAGATAGAGGAACTAAAAAGATATATACTATAAAAAGAACAATTTTATTAATATCAACAACTTTTAAAAGTAATTTAAATTAATTAGAAAGGAAATAATTTTATCAAAAGTAAAACATTTATGTTTCATTCATACTTGTGACATGATAAATGTATTTTTAATATTTAGTTACTTAAAATTAATTTTACATATTAATGTTTACAAAAACGTGTAAGATAGTAAAATATGAATATAAAAATATTATTGAATATTAATTAGAGAATTCACAAACAGAAACCCAAACACACAGTACGTAATTAACCAGCTAGCTACTCTGCTAACCACGGTTAGCTAGTTATATGTGACATTAGATTCTTTTCTATCACAAACAACAAAATATATTTTAAACTGTTTGCAGATGCATGCATGGCCTTCCACAATCTGAGCAAATCCTAAGAAAGCATTACAACATGGAATATTGTAAAGATTAGATATTTGTTTAAAATATTAATATCTTCTTACACCACTTGCGTATAATAAGCACAGGAAATAATACCTTGTGTGTTAATTTCCATAGCTATTAAAACATACATAATTATACTTCTTCCTATTTGAGAAATAAGCTTTTGACTCTTCTTTACCCTTTTGCTTTTTCAATATATAATTTAATACATAGCTTATCATTTTTAACATTTTTTTCCATACTAAGAAAGCCCTTTTCTAAATATGGTAAACTCCTTTCTCTAACTCATTTAATTTATAAAAAATGTGATACACTTTTCTAGAATTGGAATATATATATATATTATGGTTCTTACTTGGAATCCATTTTGTTTGAAACTTAAACTTCCAATTAAAAGCAAATTATTGCATCCCAAACTTTATACAAGTGTTTGAATTAACTTATTTTATTTTAAAATTAAAATTATAAATAAAATAAAAGAAAAAGTGAAATAAGGAAGATGAAATCTATTTAATTATTACCACTATGTAGATGAGGGAGGAAAAGATGATGGTCTTGAAGCGACCAAGATAAGAATCAGCTATGAAGCCACCCAGCAAAGGGATGAGAGCAGAAACACCAACCCAAGTGTTAACGTTCTTCGTGGCTACGGATATGGGCTGGTGAAGCACATTTGTGAAGTATGTGATCAAATTTGAAGCTAGGCCTTGGTAGGCAAATCGGTCAGCAGCTTCCATAACTACAAATAAAAAAAAAAACATATACATAAATTGATTATTGCATCACCCTCAAATTGAACATAATCAAAGTAAAACAGTGAAAGAAGAAAAGGGTATATTGGATCCAAAAATAATAAGAAGAAAAAGGGTATGGTACTCACTGATGATGAATATGGCTGCATGCCACCCACCCTTGGTGGTTTTGGTGTGGTGTTGGGCGTTTGCCATAACTGGTGGTCTTAAAATGTGATTAGACAATAAAGTTTGGAGAATCACCTTTGAGGAGGCTTTATTGCTATATATATGCACACACAGGGACACGGATAGGGCATTAATCAACAATTTAATTCAATAAAAATCACAAAGAACAAACCGAAAAACCAAAAATTGAATTAACCAAAAACTGCAAAAACTAAAAAAAAATATTATTGGATGTGGATCCATTTTTAAAAAATTCAATCCAAATTAAATTTATGTGAATATGTATAGATAATTTTATTTATGAAATTAACATTTTACTCATTCTTTTAAGATATTTTATTAATAAAATTATGACACTTAACTATTTTTTTATGATTTCATTTTTAAATTTATATAATATTATTATCTTTTAAAAATAAATTTTATTAGTTTCAAATTAAATTAAAAACAAAATTATAAAAATTATATATTGTGTACATTATTTCACTGTATTACTGTCACCGAGGAAGGAAGAAGGTTAATCATATATGCCCTCTTTTAAATAACTTCCTCAACACTTCTGATTGGTTAAATATTTAAAAGGTCAAAATGATTTAAAAATATTAATTTATAAGATAAATATTTTAACTTATTAAAAAAAGATGATATGAAGTATGTTAAAAAATATATTTAAAACTGTACGTTGTTAGCAATATTTTATGAGGAATATAGTTAGAGTTCATAATATATTACTGTATCCTATCATCCTTGTAAACAAGTGTGTGAGATGTGTAAAGTTCATTTTGATTAGCGCATACACTTATTAATTATGAGTATGTGGATATTTTAAAAAAATTTCAAATTATATCGAAACCAATATGTTATTACATTGTTCGTGTAAAAGGGTAACCGATTAATAAGTAAATATAAATTTGTTTAAACATCAGCAATCATGTAGTTCCCACTAGTGTAAGAAAATGTTAAAATGCAAGGGATATTTAGTTGGTTTTCAAGAGAAAAAAAAAATACATATGTATATAGTTTAAAGAACCTAAAATTACAACTTATAAAATATGGTTGATTAGCACTGCATCATCTATTTATAAAATTTGGATAAGTACTTTTATTTAATGATTAAACAACTTCAATTTAAATTTGCCTTCATTTAGTATTATGAAGAATTCAACTGCGAATAAGTTGATTTTTGATATAATTTATTTATCTTTTAGCAAATTTAGTTTTTAACAGTTTTACATATATTATAATTTAATAAATTTAAAATAAAATAAAAGTAATTACTCTAATTTCGAATCGACTAAGTAAAAGTAAAATCATTTTGCTGTGAGCCTGTTAAGTTACGATGATTAGCACTGCCAACTCATCGCGTTTGGTCAGTCAAAGCTAGTGGGACAATTTGCACGTGTGAATGCCTTATATTTTAATTTGACGAGTTTATGACTTTCTTTCTTTTTAAAAGTTATTTTCCCTTAAAAGAAGAAAAGAAAAGTGACGAAGCTAAACATAATTGGATAAAAGTTTTCTAAAGATAAAAAAATCGCTGTAAATATAAAAAGCTCGAACATTCAAACTTATAAAAAATATTAAATAAATTTATACTAAAAAAGAAAAATCGCCCATGCATAAAATTGTAGAAAGTACGTTGCATACCGGTGAATATATAAAAATCTAAGAAAATGCTAGTTATAATAAAAAGGTTTTTTTAACATATGCCTAAAAACATATGTGACGAAATAAATAAATAAATAGAAATTTTTTATTAAAAATTTGTTATAATCAATTTTATTATTACATTTAATTTTATAATATTTTGTGTTTTTAAAAGACATGTTAAAAAATAGATAATTGTTAAGATGAATGTTAGTGTTTTTGGTTCAATTTAGTGTGTCAGCGTTAGCAAAAATTATAAATTTATATTTTTTCACTTTTTTATTCGGAATTGTAGCTTTTTTTTTTTAGATTTCTAAATTTTACACGTTTAATAAATTGGTTCTTTCAGTTAATTTAACGTTAATGAAAATATTGAGTTGACTTAATATTAGTTTAATATAATATAATTTTTCAAAATTTAAAAGTTCACCAATTTAATTTTTTATTGAATTTTTAATTTATTTTCTTATTTGATAGAATTCCAACGTTTAACATAATAGATTGAGAACATTACTGTTTCAGTCTTGTAGAAGCAAAGGCTTTCAATAAAATTATTTTGTATTATTTCAAGAAACAAATTCTTATCAAAATACTTTTGCTATGCTTCTTAATTTGTTTTTTGTTTTTCTACTTTTGTTCTTATAATGTATTAATGTATTATACAGAGCATTAAGAATTCATAAATATAGGAATTTACTTTCATATTAAATAAAAAATTATTTGATAATGTTTGTAATTGAAATAAGTGGATAATTTGATAATTGGATACATTTCTATTTAATTGAAATAGTTTTTTGTAAAATAATTATAAATAAAAAATCTTATGACATTAGTTATGGATAGTTGTTAAGTGGGTCATCAGTACGTAAGTGGGTCTGTACTGCCTGTCGTTAAAAACAAAAAAAGTCGTTTGAATTTGGGCCAAAAGCCTATTTAGATAATAAACATATGTTTTAATGTGTATAAAGTTGCCTCTTAGCTTCATTTGTCAAAACTGAGAGAGAGAAACTAAATTACGAAAGAAAAAGAAGAAATAAATGTGCTCTTTTATCATATGATAAGGAGTGAAAACACGTTCCATGTTTCATCAAATTTCAGTATGTTGATCCTGGTAGTGAGCATTATTTTGGAACCATTATTTTGTATTTCTAATTAATTTTTAGTGGTTTTAGGAGGACCTGTGATGATTTACTTATTAATTTTATCAGTAGAGAATTTTTACTGCATTATATTTTCGTTGAATTGAGGGAAAAAGGAGGTTTAAGTGTTTTTGTTAGTAGTTGTTTTATGTTATCTTTTTTAACAACCGGTATGAGAGATCCTTAGTTGGAGTTCTTATCAGTGAAATTAGATTCTACCAATTACTTGATTTGTAAATTACATCACTTATAACACTGTAAAGCTGGATGTGTATAATTACAAAATAATAATATGAACTATTTTTAAAATTAAAACAAAAAAAGTGAAGAACTAAGATTAAATTTGATTATATTTACATGAATTAAAAGTATATTTATTTATTTTTCACTTCTTATTATAATCTTTAAAATATGGTTGATTCATTTTAATACACTATAATTTTATATAAATTTCATTAAGAAATAAGACCAATATAACTCAATGAATCATACATAAGTTGTATAAATTAATCATATATTATACCGTGGTTATATTTTCATTGATTGTTGGATGAAATTCATGTTGCAACCGAATGGTCTCAACTAAATCATCTCTTAAGAATAAAAAACGTTTTTTAAAAAATTCAGAAGAGTCTTCATCAAAATTTATTAAAGAAAATCTTAGAAAAATTTTGAAAAATGATCTTTGAAACAAAAAATAGTTTGAGAATCATTTACATGTATGAAAGGTATTAGCACCTTACAACGTTCATTTAAGTAAGATTATCTTAAATTAATTGTGTAATTTTATTTTAATTTTAAAAAATATTTATTTCTTTTAAATAATAAGTGTTGCTATTTTATTTTTGAAAGAAGAAATTTTATTTATTGAAATATTGATTAGCATCTTAGAAAAGAGAAAATTTATTTTAAAAGTTATTTTGACTTGACGGGTTCGGTTTCCTCTCTATGTATCCCTAGTTACAATAGAGAACACAAAGCCTAAAATTAATTTTAGTAAAAGAAAGTTTATTTAAGATTAAAATTATTTTCATAATATTATAATATTTAGGATACAAAATAATACGGTGATACATGCATCATATGATAAACAATATAGAAAGCGAAGAGAGATCACATATTATATTGCAAATTGTTAAAAAAATATTTTTATTTGCAAAAGAAATATTTGAATTTATATTTAAATTATGATTGATGTTGAGAGAGAATTTAAGATAGCATAAGTTATATATTAATCTCTTATAATTTATTAGACAATCGAAGGCAATATAAATTACATATCAATGCTGCAAAATTTTATATGATAAAATGAAAAAATATTTGGTTATTCAATTATTAAAGTTAGGAATATGACTTAAGAAAAATTAAAATATGAAATTAATTTCATTTAATGAAAGAAATAAATGTATTTAAATTGATTAAAGAATATAATTATTTAATAAAATGATTAAAATTTTATTTAATAAATTTATATTGCATAGGATCTAAGGTAACATAAGTACATAAAAGTCTTAATGATCTAAAACGTATGAAGGTGATCAATTGGATTTTTATAACCTTATTTCCTCTCATTCCTAGTTCATTAATCCTCTTTTGTACCTAATTGGTTTGAATTGGATCATTTTATGATGTTTGAATTTTATTTGGGCTTTATTTAATTTTTCCAGTATTTGGCAAATTCTGATACTGTTTTGGTTTCTGAACCATATCTTGAGTTGTAGAACTCATTTAATTGTGATTCTTGATTTGTAGGAAAGCTTTGAGAAAGGCGCACAATTCTTATGAAGAGCTCAGAAACCAATTCTGATGATAAGAAGCTGAAACTGGGCCTGAAAAAAGTCGAAACGCTGCAGTCGTGGATTCTGAGCAAGATGCAGTATTTGGGTCATATCTCAGTCCACAGATATTCGATTTAGCCCATTCCAGTGGTGTTTTGAAGCTAACATCCAAGGCTACAATTGTCCTTTAGGCTACGAACCAAAAAGAGGCCGTTTTCATAGCCCAAAAAATGGAATAAAGTGACAAACGAAATTTTTAAATTTTGAATTTTAATTTTTTTGGCTCGTCTTTTTCTCTCTTCTCTTCTCTCTCTCGTTTTTTTTTTCCTCCCCTTTTATGACTTGTTTCCTTCCATCCATGGAGGCTTATATTTCCATCTAGTCCAATAATTGAAAAAGGATTGAGACACTCTTGAGGATTGGTTTCGCAATTTATTCAACAACAAATTCAGTTTCATCTCTT